GTTAACAATTAAAATATAAATTGCAATTTTTGGTGACAACAGCTGTCAAGTTTTGCCGCGGGTAAACTGCTGACAGGTGCTTTTCACCTAGAAACCATTTTTAATTCAAAATTGCGCGTTTGTGATTGGTGGAAATTAAGACAAGGGAAATAGTCAAACTTATATACTCATTATATTATATACGATTCGTATAATACGAACAAAACAAACTTTAAAAATAACAAGGAAGGGGGCATTCATTAATTACGTAAGATGTTTAGGGGGGGAGGGGGTCGAGCCAAACCTCACCCAATATCACTTGGGGGGAGGGTGGTCTCGGCAAATATCACGTAATTTTTTCTTTTCGAATGAAACAGTGTAAAATTGCGAGAAAACTGGGTTAAATTAAGTATTAAGTATTATTTTAGGCAGGCATTTAAAAAATATATTTTCTATCATTAAGGGGGGGTAAAAGTTACCCCAATATTTTAAAAAGTAAGGGGGGTCGAGTGATACATAATTTTAAAGGCTTTTTAATTGCCTGCATTTTGGCATTTTTAAATCGGTTGGTTCGTTCTCGAGATATTTAAGATTAAAATAAATTAAAAAATAAAGTTTTTCTCAAATATGTATCTCTAAAACAAACTGACCGTTTTTGATTGAGTGTACCTTATGTTTTTTAATATTTTTTATATTTTAAGTTTTATTTTAATAAAATATTTAGGATTTATAAAACAATAAATATAAACGATAAAAATGTTGTATAATTACATAAAATTTAATATATTTAATATATTTTACTATATATTATTTGTATCGTTTAAACTAAATTAATTGTTTTATTTTTATGCCGTAGAAATATACATTAAAAATGGTATATTTTGTTTGACTTCTTGCCTACACAATATTATTTTAAAAATAAATAAATAAAACAGTAACAAATTTACTTATAACAAATGTTGTGTTGAGCATAATATGATATATTATATCAATAAAGGTATTTTGTTGCAATTCCGCACGCCAAGATGTATTCGCGCGCCAAACGAAGCGTTAAAAATAAGTTGACTTCTGAAAAAGAAAACGGTGTTGCCAAATTTATGGTGCCAGAGAGCAAACATAATTGTATGGTGCCACTTTGCGTCTATTTACCAACTTGTATGCACCGCAGCGCCCCCATCGGAGGATGGTCGAACTAATCAGTATGTAAATTCAGAATTATGGTCAATCCGGCACCCAATCGAAATTTTGCCAGACGCTGCGTTATGCCCTTATATGAACATAGGGCTGACAAGCACTCAAAACGTAACGGCACCCAAAACCGGGTGCAACATGGTAAAATTGGGTGCCGTTTAGACAATTTTCACCTATAAATGGTGCCACTTTGACGAAATTTATGTATATATATATATATATATATATATATATATATATATATATATATATAGATTTTATTATATATTGTGGAAAATACAGTGCTTGCAAATCCAAGTCCGACCGCACTGGAAAGGACGGCTGTTATAATAATACCCGCGTGAAAAGAACAAGGATAGAACGCCAAATAGAATTTGATTGGCCAGAGCCGGCAGGCTACGACAACGCATACCCATCGCGCACCTCGCAGCGTGCTTGACACGAGGATATCAGAACGAGAACTGCAGTGGTGCCAGCAAGAGGTAGTAATTTTAGTAAAAAAAAGATTATTTAATTAAAAAATGTACACGTTGGAACAAAAAGTTCAGATTTTAATCTGGCATTTTGATGGTAATTCTGAACAAGAAATTCAATGGAATGTTCGAGGCCAGACCAAACAGAGAAACAATATTAGTCCAGAAGTCCTAGCTAATGTGCGTGGGAATTTTTATAATAGGTTAGGCTATTGTTTGGCTGCGTATGGGGGCTTGTTCGAACATTTAATTTAATTTTTGAGTTTATTTATTTTTATTATTTATTTTTAGAGTTTTATTCAGAATTATTTTTTATTTGAGAAATCTTTTTTATTAAGAATACTATTTTTGTTGTTGCCCTAGTTCTCAAGGAAAAAAACCAAAAAATATAATTTTTAGGATTCGGGTATAAAATATTTAAAAAGAAAATTAAAATGTGCATTTACACTCTAACGCAGTTTGCTTAACACTAAATCATTTAGTCTAAATGCAGCCAGACTGGCTGCCAGAGTTGACCTCGCTTACAATTCGCACGCATCCGGGGCTCTGGCCAATCAAATTCTATTTGGCGTTCTATCCTTGTTCTTTTCACGCGGGTATTGAACAGCCGTCCTTTCCAGTGCGGTCGGACTTGGATTTGCAAGCACTGTATATATATATATGTATGTATATATACATACATATGTATATACATTTTTTTTGTTTTATAAATGTAGATACTATTTATTATTACTGTTTCATTTTAATATTTATTATTTTTATTATAGCATTCTTCTGTTTTTAAAGATAAAACTGTTAATGTTTTTTACTAGACTATTAACTAAATTTAAAAAGTTTCTATTCATCTGTGATATACATATTTTATTTATGGACTGAATTTATTGACAATAGAAAAATTATGTTTTAGTTTTATATTTATTACTTTTATATAGTCTTCTGTTTTTAAAGTTAAAACTGTTTTCTTTCATTTAGTAGAATATGTAACTAAATTTAAAAAGACTGAATTTATTGTTGATATTTCTGATAAAACTTTATATATGATATTTATTTGTATTCTTATTTTGTGAAAAAAAAATAAATTTTTAGTTTATTATATTTTATTTTAATCGCCCTTTTTGTATAAATTAAATTTCATAAAATTAATTAAATTTTTAAAATTATAAAATTTTTGAAGCCGGTCCTGTTATCCCATATTTAAAAAAAAATGCTTTAGTGCGGACCTGCTTACAGGGCCAAAATGTCAGTTGTGTTTCCTTTGCCTAACACTGAGGTCGCCCTTATATCCTTTTTCTATGATTTGAGTTTAACAAGTATTATAATCTTAACGTTCGGTTTATTAAACAATAATTATGTCTTTTTTGTATGTTTCTAAAATAGTATATTATGGAAAAGTTTATAAACCTTGGTGCATACTGAACTTTTTCTACGACAAATACTTATTATTATTTAAAATTATTTAAATCAAAAATTTGTATAGAGCGCCATCTATGAAACAATAGGGGAATCTGTATGTCACCGTCAAATGTCAAATTTTTATATTTTATAAACACAGATTATAAAGGATATAAATCGAAATGTATTTCTTGAAAATTAACAGTTTTTCACAGTGAAAGTAAAGAAAATGTTTTATGAGCACTTTAAAGTGGAGCCCGTGGCCGAATTTAAGTTATAGTTTACTGCCGGCGAAATTAAAAGATCAGCACAATATTCATATATACTTTTCAAATATTGGCGTTCTTCTTCTTCTATACTTTTTATTCTCTCTCGAGAGAATTGGGCTAATAAGGCTCTTACTGCCCAGTTACTAGTTTTAACGTCCAATGATTTCAGAAGAACCAAAAACCCACTGGTGCATGAAATCACTCACCGGAACACCAACCAGCGGCCCAAAAAAAACACCTATATAAAGACGTGAACCGATCCAATCTCTTTAGTTTCAGTTTTCTGCATGAAGAAGACAGCAACATGGCTGTCGAAACGTCAAACCGAATTACAATGATACGCGGCTTAAAACCCGGAAACCTTTTTACTTCTAAAAAAACCCATGGACCCTAAGGAACTACCCATTTTAATATATAACATTAATTACATAACACCCTGTACAATTTTCAACGTAGCGCAAAAATGATTATCCAAACACCGTACACTGAGAAAAAAATGGGACAAATAAACTGTTTACCTAATACTTTTATTTGTAGTGAATATATTGTTTATTACCTCTAAATAGTCGAAATAATAACGATAAATATACTTTAGTAAAACTTTATGTGTCGGGAATAAAAATATATTTAGGATAAATAAACTGTACCCTTGTCCCATATTTAAATATTTTTTTTATTTGGAAGCAATAAACTTTTTTCTCAGTGTAGGCATAAAAAATCTCGACATGATTTTTTGTGCCATCGGTCAATCGCAAACAGCGATGGCATAAAAAATCAAGACATGATTTTCATTTCTCACGCAGTGACATTCGGATTATGTCTGTATGAATAAAATTTGTGAAAATCACGACGTGATGTTCGTATGATTTTCATTTATCACGCGGTGACTTCTGTATAATATCAGTATGAATAAAATTTGTGAAAATCACGACATGATATCAACATATGTTCGTATGAATATCTTTTTTAATTGAACCCGGACAACATTCGTGATATTCAAACAACGTGTAATGTGAATAACAAACTAGGTTTTAAATTCGCAGTTCGCAGGGCTCATACGCATGCGCAAATTTTGCAAAAATCACACATCCTTTTTCTATGAATCACACCGTGAGTTCTACATGATATCACTGCATGTGATGAAGCATGTGTATGCACTCAGGATATCACAGCGTGATAAAAAAAATCCCGTTATGATATCATCATGACTTCACCAGGAAATCCCGATTGTTGTCCGGGTTTATAAGATCCATAACCTAGAATTCATAGGTTGACCAGTTACTTCATCAATATTCTTGTTCCTCGTTCTTTTTTTGTAATGTTTAATAAAATGAATTTACAAAGAATAACTTGTTTTTATCGCACTGAATAACGCCTTACTTTGCTAGACAAGATAGGATAGGAGGTATCGTAAGTATACTTAGGTATACTTAGTATAGGTAAACCATTGTATACTACACATATTTTTAAGTATTTCAAATTTCCCACCTTTAAATAATAAATTTAAATACTAAATAAATTTAAATACTAAAACTTAAATTAAAATTATTTTTTTTATATTTTTAAATTTTAATTCTGTTTTATAAAAAAATCGTATTTTAACTGTAAATTGTAGGTACACCACGATTTTGTTTGGTTTTCCGTACGATTATTGTTTTTCCGCAAGTTGGCAACACTGACATGAAATTCGGACTCCATGGTTATTTACATATGGTTTGATTTAAATGTCAGTTGTAAACAAAAATATATTTTACATATTTTCTGGTTTTGTAAAAGGATAAAAATGTCAGGTTACGGTTCCAAAAGAAGAAGCAAATTACCAGCACGTAGTTATTCCTCTGAAGATGATGATGATAGTAATCTTTTATCTTTTCTTTTGGAATTACAAAAAAAAAGTTTAGGGAAAAAGCGTAAAACGTCTTCAACAAAAGCTAAGCCAAAAAAACGAACAAAGAAACAAACAAAACCAAATCCAAATCCAAATGAAATAGTTAAAGTACAATCTGATGAGGAACATGAAGTATGATTTGAGGTTAATCTATGCAAATAATTTAGACTAAAATTATACTTTTAGGATGATAATAAATCACATTTTGAAAATATTCAATCAAACAAAATTGATAACTTTTTTAAATCTCGAATGTTAATATCTGATTCTGAAGAAGAGCTAAATTTGGATTCCAACACAGACATTAAATTTGTAGCAAGGGAATTACCTAAAGAGAAAAGGTTTTATACACTTGAAAGTGATAGTGATGAAGATTACCTAAAACATTCAGAGGTAGGCCTTATTATTATTAATATAATTGGTTACAATAGTATATTGTTTAATGATTGAGAAATTTGGCAATTTCCATGAGATATAAATGAAATTCTGGATGAATTATTGTGACACAAGGCAAAGGCAAGTGGAATAACTAATCCAAATTGAAATGTCCATTTCTAAAGAGTTAACCACCATTTGTTTTCTAATTTTAATAAAGAATTTGTACAACTTTGTGTAATTACAATAACCACATATTCAATGACAAAGATTAGTGTCAATTAAATTTTAATAAAATAATGATCCACCACATAATCGTCATAGTCATTTTAAATACTACAGTGGAAAAAATAAAAAATTTCTCATCTTATTGAACAGTAATTGTGGAGAAAGAGATCTATGTTCTCCACATTTTAAGACTATCCACTTTCTAAATTGAAAACATATAGAAAATGTACAAATTCTTTAATATGATTGGGTAATTATATTTTTCTGTATTTTAAATATCCAAGTATTCATAATATGATAACCGTTGAGTAAAGATGATAACAATAATCACAATATATTCTTTTAACGTATCAAAAAAAGCAATTTTGAAGTACAGTCTTAAACGTATTTGCATTAATTCAGGAAATGTATTTATGGTTAGTGGGTACCTACCCTTCTTAAAATACCCCATAGAGACCTATAAAAAATAATCTATGGGTGCTACTGGATTCAATATGTGCTTTTGACCATGGTTTTTTCAGATATGGCCAGATAGAAAATTTATAGGGAATAACCTATATGCTACCAATATGGTTCCATAGGGATTTGCCTCCTGACCCATACATTCCAATAGAGCTCTATTGAACTTTTTATAGGGATTTTTGAATAAAAATAACATGACATAAAAACTTTTGTACAGCTCTATAGACTACCATATAGAATTCCTATAAATCTTGATACAGCCCTAAATGAATTATATAGGTAAATACAGATAGTAACACCATGTTTTCCTTTGTTCTATCAGTAATAGACTATTACGCACTTTGCCAGTCACAGATGGCATTAATGTTATCCTTCCATACACTGTCATTCCCATTTTCTTTATAAAAATACTATCCATGGTATATTTTTTATTTTTGCGGGCACTGTAGAAAGATGACCTGTCCTAGATGAACCTAAATAAAAATATTCCATAGGAAATTACAAAAACATCCACTAATTACAGGGCTCCCACACCTCCTAAAACTCATAAAATTTTGCCATCAATCTTCTATAGGAGATTTTATAAAATTCCTAAAATATAAATAGGTAGTTATATACAAATATAAGTATTATCTTTGGTTATATATATATATATAACTTATAACTTATATATAAGGTAGTTGTAATGCTAAAATATTTCTTTTTCAAAAAGGTGAATTAAGGTGATAAATGTATAAATATTTATTTTTATCAGTATCTGTTAAACCAGTTCCTAAATTTATAAACAAATTTACAGTCATTCAGAATGATCTCATTTATAGTTTTGGTTCAGTTTTTAAACTTTTCAACGTTCTGATTACGCGTCCACTCTCTTTCGTTGTCTAAGGTTTTTTGCTTAGAATTCGATTTTACATAATTTTATGACATGTTTTTAAAATTTTTAATTAGCTTAGAAAATAATATTATTAATAATAATATATCTTTATTGCCCAACATAAAATATATATATATATATACAATAATAATAATAAAATATATATATAACAGGTACATGTGCATATTAGAAATGGCTCAATTCAATAAGAGTTCTTACAATGACAATAATTAAAAATAATATCACAGTGTTTAGAAATCTTGTTGAAATTTTGACACAAAGTAAATCTGTGGTTTATTCGCAATATTGGTCCTAGATCTATCATTTCTAAAAGTTATTTGATTTCTAGAATCTATACGAGGTATATTAAAATTTAATTTAATTTTTTTCAATAAGATTGCACAATCAACTTTGGCATTAACAATATTATACAAAACAGTCACAGAGACAATAATTCTTGTCATATCTAAGGAATTAATATTAAATAATGACAAAAGTAGTGCATGATCAAATCCTTGGACAGGATAGTTACCATATATTTTAAAGTAAAGCAATTTCCTATTTTCTTCCAATTATTTCGTCTATAGACGCATGCGCTCAAAGAATTTCTTATCCACGTTTTTAAACATCATCGGTGTATAATTTACGAACGCTTGCCTGAGAGGTGATGTTAGCCAATATTTGAAGTTTTTTTAATTGCATTATTCATAAATTGCGACGATGTTTACAGTGTCATTATTAAGCATTGTCTTAAATTAATTAGTAATCATGAATTAATTACTTTTTTATAATTAATACCTAATTAATTATAATTATAAATGATAATCAATTATTTATAAATGAGAATGGGACAAATCACATAGGGGGTCACACCAAACAAGTAATTTTTTTTTGCAATATTAAACATATTTTTATGATTGTTTTTTTTTTAATTATTAAAATATATTTTTTAATTATCATAATAATACAAAAATACAATTTTTGCCTTACTGAATTGTTTAATAATATTAATTTATTTAGAAAAAGATAGAAAATTAAAAAAATCTTAGTGTGACGTAAGATTTGAGGAGAGACTTTGACAATATATGTTACAATGGGGACTTCTAAAAACTATATAAATATTTATTGGTAGATTAAAAAATAACTTGAAAAAAATATATTTTATTAAAAAAATACAGCAAATATAAAATATCAAATACCTAATATTGAGTATGAGTATTAGTATAAGAGACGTATAACCGGCCCCATTGCCTCATCGCTCCCGGGCCCCGAATAGGCCTCTGTTTCCTTGCGCCGATTTTCTTTCGCCACCAGCAACGGCGCGGCTTCTACCGTGTTTGCGGTTGCGAATGTTCATTACGTCCCGTACTGTCCCCTAATTAGGGCTCGAGAGCGAAATGCCAATAGTTTTAGTAGCCATTCCCGGGTTCGCCGAGCTGATGCTATACGCCCAGTAGGGTCATTATGGAGGTAGGTCGGGAGGGATAGACAGTTTGGTGTTTGGGGGACAATTACGCCGACTAATCTAATACGACGCGGTACCCCCCTAGACCAGGCTTTTAGTATTACTCCAAACATTTGGTATTACTGTATAGAGTTCGGGAGTTGTTATTTTGCTGCAGGAGCCTACGTCTTGGTCTATGTTTTTGCCGTTATTGTTCGTGTCCAAGTAGGATTGTTCCTGCACATGTGTCTTCAGTCTTGAGGCCGAAAACCATCAATAGATAGTTCAGTACAGTAGAAACCACCAATATATGAACGTGACTCATCGGGTGCCGAACATATCTCAGACATGCTAGCAGTAATGTTTTACTTGTCTTGTACATTCGATGCAGCGGTAAATGTACTCACACGTAGGTTTTTAAGCATCCGGTCTAAAATGCGCCATCTGTGATGTAAAACTGCCTAGGTGTTCGACAAAGATGGACATATGACGCGTGTCCTAGCTTGTTACTTATTTTTGTTGGAATTCAGTACAGTTCGTGTTTTATGCAATTTATTTTATTTTATTACATAGTAAGGCAGCCAACTCTACCGTCGGCCATTTGTTTTTATATGTCATATGATCTTTGTTTTTGCATATCTTGTTTCTGCTGTGTGTTTAAGGATTAATAATCGTTTTAAACGTTGTAGTGCTAGTAGTTTTTATTGCAATTGTTATTGCACGTTTATTGGACTTTATTGCAATTGTTATTGTACGTTTTTTGGACTTTAAATAAACGGTGTGTGTTTACCGATTAATAATCGTTTAATAAACGTTGTACTGGCAGTGGTTTTTATTGCAATTGTTATTGCACTTTTTTTGGACTTTATTGCAATTGTTATTGCACGTTTTTTGGATTAAAACGGTAAATACAAAGATTAATTAATTATTAAAATTTAATTTTAAAAGCAAATATATCAGTAGTATAGCAACCAACATTACACTCAAGTGTTTGTACAAATACTTATGCCCCCGTTAGAACAGCACTGCACTGGAATACAATTTCCCGTGACCTTCGATAGATTGTTTCGTACGATTGTGCCTGATGAGTCACGTTCATATATTCGTGGTTTCTACTGTTGTTGGATATGTAACTTGTAGCTTTTGATGTTTTTTTTTAATTGTTTATTGGCGCAGTAGTGCGAAATTCTAATAACTTTTTAGATATTGTGTTGCCCAAGCACGTTTTGTGGTAGAATTGTTTTGTCTTTTTTTCTTAATTTCCAAAATTAAGTATTGAATTTATTTATTAGTAAACAAATGACAGGCAATACTTATGAAATTTTTGCAGATGGCCTATTCCTCCCTTGTTTGACCTCTTTTGTTTGGCCAATGAAAATCGTCCGGTTGACAGGTGGTGCGACCGCTCAGAAGCTTAACTCTTTCTTGTCACTTAACTCTTTATTGACCGTTTCACTATATTAGTTTGCACTTGTCGCTTAACTCTTCCTTATCACTTAGCACTTAACTCATTCTTGACCTTAGAGTACTCTGTACTCACTGTAGTTGTTACACTATAATTTGTTTGCACTTTATGAGAAGTTATTAGTTGGATATGGTTTTTACGTTTTAAAAGCTCGCTCTGTCAAGTACTGGGACGTGACTGATATCAAATACCTATGTAACATTATAACACAAAAATAAATACAAAAAATTAGTCAAACAAAACTAATAAAATATAAAAAAATATACATCTAAGAACTCACCTCAAATTTTTTCTTCAAAAGGGAGCTAAAACTTTTTTGTTTAATTTTAACGCAATAATATAATAATTTTGAGAATGTCGTCATCTTTCCCAACAAGTTGCTATTTCAAGGAGCAGTTTACAGCAAATTTTAACAAAAGATCTTCATTTACATCCATAAAAAATACAATGAACACAGGAGCTAATCCCAGTAGTTCATGCAATGCGCCGGGAATTTGTTTATTGGATTCTGGAAATTTGCAAAGAAATTTTTTTTAGCGATGAAGCAACCAGCAACAATTCACCAACTTAAAGACGATATTCGACGCTTTATGGGCGAAATTCAGTAGTGCTTTTGTTCAATCGGGAATTAGATATTGAATTATATTCTGGGGAAACTCCGTAGACAGTGGAAGAATCTTTATTTTACAAAAAAGGTGTCTAAGAACAATATTTAGAATGGAACAATTAGATTCATGCAGGAAGGCCTTTGTGAACAATAATATTCTTACTTTACACAGTCTTTATGTCTATGAATGTGTGATGTTTGCAATAAAAAATAGGTCCACTTTAACAGATCTTCAGCGTGATCAAAGTAATGTCAAAGTTAAAGAAAAATTGTTTGTAAAAATCAGAAGATAATAAGAATTATTCTAATATAGATGAAAACATAAAATATGGGTACTTATTATATGGACATGGATATGGATATTATTTAAGATAGTTACGAAGTTGGAGTGAAAATAAAAATAAAATGTATAAAAACGTAATCCTGTTATTGGGCCCTGGGCCTGTTGGATACGAATAAATAAATAAATAATAAATAAATGAATAAATCATAAATAAATCATATATAAATATAATACTAGAAAAAAGGATCTACTAAATCTTGATCGAGCAAATTTCTCTTACCTACAAAGAAACATATCATATATGCTAGTCAAAATCTGGAATATACTACCCACATTTTTCAAAACATTAAAGATGAATCAACAAAAAGCAAAACTAAAGAAGTTTCTAGTCAAAAAATCCTATTATAGTGTTGATGAATTTTTGGAGGAGAAAGATTTCCAGGATCTTTAAATATGTTATACTTTCCAGCACTTTGAGTATTGTTTTAATGTCTTGTTTTAATGTCTGATTTTAACTGTTGTTTTATCCTTTCCTAGAATTTTAATTGTGTATACTTATGCTTTTATTTTGAATTATTTTATTGACACGATCTACACCTTTAGGGTACACTGTATGATATGTTATTTAGTAGTATTTATTGTACATAGGATCATTTATCGAAATATACTATACTATGCAAGTATGTTATAAAAAATTCATAAAAAAAGGAAGGGTGTGCCAGCGCCGTAGTGGGGAGCATTTGTCGGATATTTTGTTTCATGCATAATCGGAAAATGTGTACTTTATGTCGAAATAAGAATAAAAATTATTCATAGACTTTTAAGGTATTTAATTAACATATTAAATCCGGCGTTCCTATTGAGACATCCTTTAAAAATGAGACATCCTTTAAAAATGAAAAACCAATTAAAAAAAGTTGTGCCTCACCTTATAAGCACACTAATAAAGTAAAACTTCAAAGGAGATGTTAGGAATCCAGATTTAGGGTAATCATTATTAATAATTATAATTATTAGAGTTGTTTAGAGTTGTACATCCCGCATGGTCTAGGATATCGCGATATGCACGCATATGCGCGCGATATACCCGCGATATGACATATTTTTCGGGGTTTTTGGGAAGCCACCAGGTCTAGTAATTAGTGCTGAACATTAGATCCGGATCCTTTTTCAATCCGGATCTGATCCGGATTTTTCAACGTACATAATCCGGTTCCGGATCTATCCGGATATAATACTCCGATTTTAGATTCGGAGCAAAGATCCGAAATATGGATCAAAGATCCGAGATCCGAATACTGGATCTTTGTAGTGCTAAACATCAGATCCGGATATTCTTCAATCCGGATCAGATCTGGATCTTTTTCAATCCGGATCAGATCCGAAATCCAAATACACAACTGCTTAAAAGAGTTTTTTCTCAACAATATGCTTATAATTAATAATAATAATATAATTTATAATATATATGTCGGCGCCCTTATTAATTAGTGGTCTACGCTCATGAATCTTTCTTAGAATTTTGTTTATTTTTGTTGATAAGATTTGTGTGACGATGTTTAGGCTAAACAAAAAGTCCCAGGCATGTGGAGTATGTCATTTTTCTCGTATTAGGTGTTTATGATTAAGTCTAAGTGCTCATTCATAATGGACGTAACCATAAGATGACCGTATAACGTAAACATAATATCACCATAATTTGTACCTACGTAACGATGAGTTGTGATTATAATGAACATATGCCTTATGTATATATTAATATGGCGCGCATGTCCAAGTTCACTAAAATGGCAGCATTGAGTCAATTGCCATTGACAGATTTAGTCTAATTATTATACAGTCATAAAGTATATCTTCTTTTTAAAGTGTTTCGTGTTACAAAATACCGCGCGCCTAACGTTGGCTAACGGAGGGTTCAGATGCAAGTCGGCACGGGTTCCCGTTTATAGAATGAGCTGAAATTTTTACTGGGAGTATATAAACACGTAATAAATATAATTAGAGGGTATGCGTAAAAAAAATAAAAATAAGGGACACATAATATACATATATAAATTTAAATTTAAAATTTTATTTCAGATTAAGGATACAACTATTAGTATTGATAATTCAAAGCCTAGTACTAGCACAGCAAATGACAGTGTAATAGAAATAGATGAAAAGTAAGTATTTTATAACTTTTTTTATAACTACGCTTTTTCAAAAAACATCTCAAAAGAAATCAATTTTTATTCATAATTTAATAGTAAAGAGTTTTTTTTACAAAGTAATTTATGTTTTAACTAGAAAAATATCCAATCCTACTTATTTATAATAGGATAGCATAGGAAATTAATTAAAATAGGATAACAATTTTAATTTATTTGTTTTATTATGTAATCCATTTTAGCAGTGGTATGTTTATAAAGGGTGTCCAATTAGGTACGCTCGATGTTTGATAGGCGGCTATGGCTAAGTCAGTACAGACACAGCTGTCAAATATTTTGAAGTTTTGTTGGCATATTATGACATTTGATAATGGAGCGTTACACGGTTGCTCAACGCATTCAAATTATTCAAATTTACCAACAAAATCAATGTTTAATTCGCCAAACGTTTCAACGGCGTCATTTCACGCGGCGGCGATATCCAGTGGCCAACGAGATCATGCGATCTAACGCCGCTGGACTTTTTTGTGGGGCTACGTAAAGTCCCTTGTGTACGTGAATAAGCCACGAACAATTGAAGCACTGAAGGCCAACATTACTCGTATAATAAATGAAATCGAACCCGAAATGTGCGAAAAAGTGATAGAAAATTTGACCTGCAGAATGCGCGCTGTGGAGCGCAGCCGCGGGGGCATTTGAAAGATGTTATTTTTCATAATTAATGCCATAGGATGTTCTTTTAAATAAATATATTTTTTTCCTAATATCTTAAGTGTAGTTTGTTTTATTTCATTTTAAAGTTAGAGCACTCTTAAGTGGACACCCTTTATAATAAGGAGATTCTTTTAAATGAATAAGAATTTTTTATTTTCAAAACCGACTAGTTTCGACTATTATAGTCATCCTCAGGGTTTACATAATTTAAATTAAATATACAGATTAATATTAAACATTTGTATGTATATAGGTAACAAATTTCAAAGTCATTTCAGACCGAACAAATAAATTATAAATAATTAAAAACACGATTAGGAATATTAGTTGTGTTGCAACATAACCCTAATATTCGAATATATTAGAAAAATAATTTTGGCCAACTTTTTAATACTAATACCCCTATGTGCGACGTCAGAAATACTACTGCGGGAATCCACTGCGTGGTCAGGTGCATTATTGTGCTAAATCAAATGACTAATAAGATATTTTTAAAAAACAAACAAAAGTTTTTTAAATGTAAAATTTGTGATAATTGTGCATTTATGCAGTTTTCTACAAAACGACCTTTAATAGACGAACAACGTTTATTTTGTAAAATTGTTTGTAATGCGCGATTTTTGAGAAGTTAATGCCAAAAACCCTAAAAATGAAGCATTTTGTCGAAGTTCAATCCTTTACAGGCACGGGAAGGGGTTGAGTTTACGATCCAAAATTTTGTGTGATTTTTTTTCTCTTGTACTATTACAAAATTTGGCGGTGGGACGATCGAATTTTAAAAGTTTAAAAATAAGGACCACCCTAATATATATATATACAAATACAATCTCATGTACCATCTTCAGGCCTTATCTGCTATCTCCACGGTTCTTTTAAGAACCAGAAACCGACAATACAGAGCAGATCCCGGAAAACCATTAATACATATATGTATACAGGGTGTTTCATAATATATGCGCAGGACTTCAGGATGTGATAGCTCATCCAAAAAGATGAAAAAAGTCGCTATTAACTTACCCTCTAAAATGCACAATTTTCGAGATACAGGGTAATGAAATTTTAGAAATAAAATCGTTTTTTTAGATTATCTCTGGAACCGTTTATCGTACAAAAAACAGCTTTTGTAAGCATTTTCTACTCATAATAAGCTATGTTTTGTGCCAGAAAAAATTGGTGGAGATTTTGAAGGGGTAACGGGTGTTTTTCTCCTGAACTTCAACGCCCCTGAAAAAAGTACGGTTTTGAGAGGCCCATTCGAACCGCCAATATTTTCTACAGAAAAAAGGTACTCTTGGTCATAAGCTCTAAAGTTGACCGTTTTCGAGAAAAATCAACTTTTATGTTTAAAAACATGGTCAATTTTTTGAAAAAAAATGTTTATTACTAATTAAACAAAATTTATTTTAACGTTTGAAAAAGTAACAAAACCAAACGATAATTGCAAAATTAAAAAAAAAATAAAAAATGATTTTTTACTCAAATGCTGAAATGTGCGAATTACCTTTACGGTTTGGAGAATTAAGCAAAGACAACTTTTAAATCATTTTTTATTTTGCAATTATGGTTTGGTTAAAACAAAATTTTGTTTAATTAGTAAAAAAAAATATTTTTTTTTTAAATTGACCATGTTTTTAAACATAAAAGTTGATTTTTCTCGAAAACGGTCAACTTTAGAGGTTATGACCAGGAGTACCTTTTTTGTGTAGAAAACATTGGCGGTTCGAATGGGCCTCTCAAAACCGTACTTTTTTCAGGGGCGTAGAAGTTGAGGAGAAAAACACCCGCTACCCCTTCAAAATCTCCACCAATTATGAGGAAAAAAATTTTTTTTCTAGCACAAAACATAGTTTATTTTGAGTACAAAATGCTTACAAAAGTTGTTTTTTGTACGATAAACGGTTCCGGAGATATTCGAAAAAAACGAATTTTTTTCTAAAATTTCAACACCCTGTATCTCGAAAATTGTGCATTTTAGAGCGTAACTTAATAGCGACTTTTTTCATCTTTTTGGATGAGCTATCATATCCTAAAGTCCTGAGCATATATTATGAAACACCCTGTATATATATTTAATATATCTGTGGGTAAAAAGAAATAAGGGGATAAGTCAAAAAAGCAATTTTTCGGTAGAGACTTAAACGTGTTCGTATTAATTCAGGAAATATATTTATGGTTTGCGAGCATACCCTTTTGCTAGCATATGACATGTGCTGGCAAAAGGATATACCCGCTAACCATAAATATATTTCCTAAATTAATGCGAACACGTTTAAGGCACTACTAAAAAATTGATTGTTTTGACTTTTCCCCTTATGCCTTTTACCCACAGATATAATTACAATAATAGGCGAGTTTGATGTTTTCACGAAATTAAATAATAAAGTGATATATGTTAAAATATACAAAAATCATTCAAAAGGACATCATAAGTGCAATGCTACAATGCTATTTTTAGTAATTTTAGTAATTTTTTAGTCTAAGATTAAAACGGCTCTTTTGAACCGATTCACTAAAGAGTGACCCGGAATGCTCGTCACTATTTGCGTTGTGTTTAAGAAATAAAATATAATTTATAATTTACTTTACAAACTTTTTACAACAAGCAAGAGGTGGCTCTTGGGCTCTTTTTCCCTGGTCGTAGTAAAGAGCTTGAGAACCCTGTTCAGCTATAAAGTAGCAAAGAAATTCCTTTAAAAGTTTATGCAAATCAATGTGATGACGCCACGCTCGTTACTTTATCGAACCCCAGTTTCAAAAATAGGAGAACACTTTTTAATTAACATGGCAGTTAACAGTTACTGTGTCAACGTCAACATTGCCTTGTGGGGAACGAGGTCCACATCTCGTCTATAAGATAAAGGATAAAGTTGCGATGTCGACTAGAGGACCTAGATGACCATTTTATCCCTTACGGTGTGGAACATTTTAATATCTAATGCAAGGCATTAATTTTAAACAAAATAATTCACCAAGTTTTTTCACTTTAAACGATTATACCACAATGAACTTTAAATTCCAATCTTATTTGTTTGCTATTAGACATAAAACTTCCTAAAAATAAAAATTATTTAGCAGCACGCGATCCTTAGGGAAAAAAATATAATTTGAAAAAAAATTCATATCTTAACGAAAAGTTTTAATAAAAATAAAAAATACACTTTTTAAAAAATTAAATTTTGAAAAAATTCCGTACTTTTCGTTTATTATCGTATAAAAAATTTACCACAATGAATTTAAAATTTTTGTTACTTTTAATGAAACATGTTAATAATTACAAGCATTTTGCAAGTTCAATTGTCAAAATCGGTCAATTTTTGAACACAACAATACGCATTTAAAAAAAAAGCTTTTTCGGTCAACGGAAAAAATCTATTTTTACCGCAAAAAATAAATCGCCAAAAATCAACAAAATTTTTTTCCGCTAAACAAAAAAATACTATACCTACTTAAGTTTCATAGAAAAAAAAATCATGACCTGCGCGTACCGGTCGTACCGGTTAAAGTGGCATTTTGTTTAAAATATTTTAGAAAAATAGCCTTATATAAATGTTATAATAAAAAAATATTATACGCTTGAAGTAAATATTTAATTCTAATTTTGTCCAAAATACGACTTTTTTTTCTATATTTGGGCCCATTGCACTTACATATTAACTAAATGGGCATTAAGAAAGTAATATTTTTCGGCCAGTTGATAATATTTAGTTTGAAACCTTGCAAACAACCTTGACATAAAACCCAAATTGTGAAATAAAATAAAATTTTATATCACAAAACATATCCATACTTACACTTTACAAAAAAATGTACATTTTGGCAGTAAACCAGTAAATACGCTATAATAAGTATTTTTTATTAATATTTATTTTTTCATTTAAGGACAGAGACAGTTGAAGAGATATTGGCCGACATTGATTTAATCGCCCCAAAAAATAAGATAACTGTTCTTGAAAAGGACAAAGAAGAGAGGTAATATACTGTTTTTTTATAACGGGAAATAGGTAGCTGAGGTATTTTACGATAGACAATTTAGTAAAAGTTATTTGCTAAGCATTTGAGGCGCTTCTTAGAAAAACAGCCATATTACAATTTGTTATTTACTTATATTTTAAATTAACATTTTGAGGCAGTAATCGTTAATATAACAAGAAAATTTATGGCATTAAAAATATTCAGCACAATTCTATCTTTATAAGTTTTTAAGATATGATTGTTTTAAATAAGAAATAATTAACAAGGCATCTTTGGACTATGGCTGTTTTTACTAGAAGCGCCTCAATCGATTTGGTTTTTTCCACGTATTTTTTTTATGATTGCCTTTTTTATCTACTATAAAAAATTACCTATAAATTATAAAATAAAAGGCAAAATTGTTTTTTTTTTAAATTTTTTTTTAGTAATTTCTAAAATTAAAATATTTTATAAAACACATCCTTTTATATTATTTACTTACTAGGATTTTGTTAATTTATTTAATTCGGTTATCTACTTCCATTGCATAATATTATTTTTTTTCTGTATATAATAATAAACATTATAAATTCTCTGCCTGACAACGGGAATATTAAACTTATTATTCACGTTGTTAGGAATCAGTAATTGGCCGATTTCAATATTCACTGTGGTCAGGCGATTGTAACAATATTAAAAATTGATAAAATTGAGGTTAACCATTTGACAGATGTCAGATCTTATTTATTTATTTTTGAAAATCATTTTTTTATGTACTTATTTTAGAAGATAAAGTATAGTATTAAACTCGAGATTATAGGCATTATCTCTCGTACGAGCCCTAACCACATAATGTTCGGACACTTCATAATTTATACAGAAATTTTTTTCGTGAATACTATCTCAAAATTATTAGAAGTTATGAAAAATTCAGCTTATTTTGGCATATACCCCTCGAAGCGATTTTTATTTTTAAAAAGTTTACCTTTTATTTTTAGCTTTTAAAAAAAGGCTAACTTTTTAACTTTTTTTTGTATGAGTAAAAAAAGTTATAAATGGACCCATTAAAAAGAGCATAAAATATTATACAAACCCTGAAAATTTGGTAAAAAATAAATAAGTTATAAAAAAGTATAAGTAATTTAAAAATGCTATTTTTAAAGAGTTTTTGCAATTTTCTTAGGAAACGGGAGATTTTGCAGATATATATATCGCTATAACTTTCTTATTATTTATACAATTTTTACCAAATTTTCAGGGTTTGTATAATATTTTATGTTCTTTTTAATGGGCCCATTTATAACTTTTTTTACTCATGCAAAAAAAAGTTAAAAAGTTAGCCTTTTTTTAAAAGCTAAAAATAAAAGGTAAACTTTTTAAAAATAAAAATCGCTTCGAGGGGTATATGCCAAAATAAGCTGAATTTTTCATAACTTCTAATAATTTTGAGATAGTATTCACGAAAAAAAATTCTGTATAAATTATGAAGTGTCCGAACATTATGTGGTTAGGGCTCGTATAATAATATACTATTTATTATTTAAAAAGATTTCGAAATTTTTCACAGAATGTCAGCTTAATTAAAAAATGTAATTAAGCTTTTATTTTTATACAGATTTAAATAAGACATCGTTGCTAATAGAAGGTAGCTCCTTTCTTGTCCATTATATGTCTTTAATTATAAATTTAATTTTTTTATCAAAAAAATATATGTACCTACTTCGTTTTTAAATTATTATGGATATATTATAATTATCAATCTTCCCTTGTGTAAATTGTTCTCTGAAAAAAACAGAACAATTTTTAATAAGTAAATATAAGAGTTTTAAAAGTCTTACTTTCTCTTAAAAAAAATTAGCAAGATTTAGGAGTTTTCTGTAAGAGTTCTTACCTACCTATACACACTGGGCCTCATTTAGGTAGGCAAGACAAATTACATTTTGCTACATTCTCGCCCTCTATTAAATGTTTGTGATATCAAACCAGAGAACCGCGCAAGTTGCCCGGCGCAACCGATAAATGTTGTTCTGTAATTCTCTTAGTTTCTGAAAAATGTATTTTCGGTGTTTTGACAGAACTTCTGTGGTTTGACAGTTTGTGAATAATAAACTCACGATCGAGAAAATTGCATAGACTAGACTATTGGTAAGTTAGGATTGAATGTAAAATTTGGACATTTAGAAACAAAATATTTTTTGTTACGTTCTTTGCACGCAGTTTTTGGTCTTGCACTTAAATTTTGTCTATAAAAGATCCCAGTTGGCTCCATTTATTGCGCCAAGCTGAGGATAGCCAATAGCAAAAATATCTGTGAGCAGCGATTACTAAATTAATTTGAATAAATTTATTAACATAAAAGACGCGATTTTGGGTCTACAGAACGCTCCATTTTGACAAAGTTGACAGTTCTGTTAACAAAATTTACAAATGCCTACTTTTCCATTTTAAACTATTTTTATTCAAAACAACTAATTCGTTTTTTATTAATAAAATAAAAGGAGTAATTCATTTTGGAATCCCTGTATATAGGTACATATTTGTAATTAAATAATTTTTAGTTGGAATAATATGCTGAAGGAAACTGAAGAAATTTTGGAATCAGTATCAAAGTTGGTAGGCATTGAAAAGAAGGAAACCGAAGAACAGAACAAATCTGACAGCCCATCAAAGTCTACACCTTCATGTCCTATTTGCCTGGAAAGTTTGTCAAATCAAGAAGTGTCAGCGACTATTTGTGGACATCTGTTTTGCAAACCTTGCATAAATGCCGTTTTAAAATCTACAAATAAAAGGTGTCCCACTTGTCGAAAGGCACTTAATGCTAAAAAAATCCACCCTCTTTATTTGTAAATCAGTTTTTTTTTATTTAAATTTTAAGTGTTAATTTTAGGTTAATAAATACACAGGCAAATTGATTTGGTATTACTATACAAGTTAATTATTAAATATTAAAAGGTTTCCATTAAAAAATCAATAGTTTAGGAATGTTTAGTCAAATTATTCGTTATCTATCCCTACATTACAGGAATGAAAAGTTATTTTTCAAAACTGTATGTACCTATAGGTTAAGGTGACCAGATTTCTGCTGCCTCATTGCACGTCCCGGAACGGGGTGGGGTAGTTTAAGAAAAATTAAATAAAAATCTTTTTTTTTATTAAGTAAATACGTGTGGAACATTTCCCCACTTGAGTCATATTTAACAGGATAATCGGTTGGTCGAAATATATTTACTAGTGCCATAGGTAATCAAACCAATTTTTTTTAAAACCTCTAAATATGTTAATCAAACACAAAAATCGGGACAAAATTTCAAAATTCGGGATTGTCCCTCTAAAATCGGGACGTCTGGTCACCTTAGTATAGGTGCATTTAAATTAGTGAAAACGCACAAATGAGGAGAAAATACAAGTTCCTAAGGAAAAAGTAAGGTTATAATGGAAATTTAATTATGAAGACAAACAAAGCGACGTAGAATAGTCGACGCGACCTCCATACCTTCCCTTGTCTGTGATTATAGTATTTATATATCATTTCCCCATATATACATTAGGGTGTTTCATTTAAAACGAACAATTTTTTTTCTTGCTGACACGTAAAAATTTTATTTTTAAGGTTGAAAAAAAAATTCCCTGAAAATATGAGCCCTTAATTTTGATTCTAAGTAGGTACTTCCTTTTTAATTTTGTAGTTTTTCCATATAAAAAGCATGTATTTTTAATCAATTTTACTTTAAATTTCTATATTTTGGCCGGGTTTTGAAATATAATTTTTATTACCATAATTTTCTGCATAGTATTCACGATTTTTGGAAGGCCCTGCATCAATTTTGTTTTTGGTTTATTTACGTTGATTGTAGTAGCTCCAAAAGTCGTTTTTTCACTTTTTCTCACATATTTTTGAGAAAATCGAGCGAAAAAGTTCAAATGATAAAGTTGTAGGAAATTTAATTTTTGACGTTCATATCACTAAAGTGCTTTGTTTAAGAGATATAAGCATTTCAATAACCAAAAACAAAGAAAAAATAGGTTTTATTAAAATTTATGTATAATATAATATACATACATTTATACCTTAAGGTATAAATGTATGTATATTATAGCATAGCACTTTAGTGATATGAACGTAAGAACTTTTTTGTCAAAAATTAAATTTCCTACAACTTTTTCGGTAAAACCAGTCATTCGCTCGATTTTCTAAAAATATGTGAGAAAGAGTGAAAAAAGGATTTTCGAAGCTACTACAATCAACGTAAATAAATCAAAAACAAAATTGATGCAGGCCTTTCAAAAACCGTGAATACTATGCAGGAAATTATGGTGATAAAAATTATAATTCAAAACCCGCCAAAATATAGAAATTTAAAGTAAAAATGATTAAAAATACATGCGTTTTATATGGAAAAACTACAAAATTAAAAAGGAAGTACTTAAAATCAAATTTAAGGGCTAAAATTTTCAAAAAAATTTTTTTTCAACCTAAAAAAACAAAATTTCCATGTGTCAGCAAGAAAAAAGAATTTTTCGTTTTAAATGAAACACCCTAATATACATATGATTTTTTTGAATTTTGGCAATATTTTAAACTTGATATTTTGATTTGATTTTGAAGTAGAAAAAAATACACACAACAAAATATGTCATAATGACTCATTTTATTGAGGTTATTTTTGTTTAAATCCAATTATATTAAGAGTAATTAAACAATGAAATTTTTAAGGAAGTAACGGAATCGGAATTCTCGTGACAATTAATTGGCCGTGAAACAATTTTTTTGCGATCTTTAGGGTACCATATAGGAACCCCTTGCAGCTTTTCACCATCTTGGATTAGGTAAATAATAATAAAAATAGATACTCGACCGTAAAACATTTTCAAGCCTTTTTTTCTTAAATAATTGTTAAATATGCATATTATTAAAAATATCACGTATAAAAATTCATAGAAATTAATTGGTGATTTTGGTGTCTTCTCTTTTTTTAAATAAAATATACGGCTGTTATTCCGCATCCAAAATGGCGAAAAAGTTGCAAGGGGTTGGATCAAAAAGTCGGATTTAAGCTTCCTATATAATAGGTACCCTTGGTACTAAGTATCATGGTAGGTTCTCTAACTATCGCAAAAAAATTGTTATTTCAATGAATTCTAATAATAAAATCTTAATACGGGTACAATAAAATTTTGTACAAAAAAAAATCGAAATATACTTCCTATGAAAGTACTTAAATATTAAGAGCTCAACTTTTCAGTCAGTCCACACAACAAGGTCTGTTCTATCTCGTACTAAAAATACAAAAAAATCACTGCAAAACTGCATAGTTTAACGGCGGCCATTTTTGTTGTTTACAATTTTTGTGCTTTGGGTTTGTGCTCTGCTTATACAGATTAATATTCGTTTTAAACGTTGTTTCTCATAGTAAGCCTTAAAAAAACCTTAAAGTGCTAAGAACAACCATTTTACTCCTCTATTGTAAAAAATAAACTTTATTCTATCAGGGCTGTCATTATGTCATTAAACTGTCAAATGGCAATTTTAAGGTTAAATTATATCCCACAAATTAACCTTCAAATTGTCATTTGACAGCCCTGAATAAGGTATATTTATTATAAAAGAGGAGTAAAATGGTTGTCCTTAGCACTTAAAGGCCTTATTTGAGGCTTACAAGTGCCTCTGTAAGAAACCCAACGTTTAAAACAATTATTAAACAGCACAAACCCAAAGCACAAGAATTGTTAACAGCAAAAATGGCCGCCGTTAAACTTTGTGCAGTGTTGCAGTGATTTTTAGTTTTTTTAGCATGAGATAGAACAGACCTTGTTGTGTGGATTGTGGAGGCCACAGTAAAAAAAAATTTTGGTGGAATGACACATATATATTATAATATTTTATAATAATAATAATTGTTAAACTATAAACACTAATTGTGCTAAATGATGTTTGCCATCTAAATAACGAATTCGTTCGCATTGATTGAAATGCACTTTTATATTAATTGATTAGGATAAAGTATAATATTAATATTCTAAACGATTGATTTTTTTAAAAAATATTTGTAGAATTTCTGCACAATATTTTGCATTACATTTTAAATATTCTTGATTTTTTTTTAAAGCTATTAAGTATTTAAATAATTAAATCAAGCTGGATCTTGAACCTAATAATAAAATATAATACAACCATCTGTTAATATAAGTTAAGTATTAAGTCATAAAATAATGTGGCTGTGTTAATGTGTACATATTTATTTGAATTTAGATTTGAACTAAACAACGACACCTAATAAAATTACTTTTCCAAATTATTGTTTTTATTTTATTTTGTCTCCCAATACTTTAATTATTTTGTGTTCAACTAATGAATGGATATATACAAAGCCAGTCAATAGTAGAATATAACGGTGGTTTGGTAAATAAATATTTTTGGATTTTTACTGAATTGAAATGTTTACAATTTTCACGTAAATCATTACTAAAATGTGTATTTATTGTATCTAATAGGTACAATTTATATTTACAGGGACTGTATGCAATTTATTTCTTCATTTGGATTTCCCTTGTTTATTGGGAAACCGGTAAAAACTCAAGCCAGGACTTCCTCTCAAAAAACACTCAACAAAACAAATCTTTGTAACATACGCGTTTGACAGCTGAAAGTTGTAGTTTTGTTACGATGATAACGGCCAAGTGGTGGCGCTACTAGCGATGCTTCTTTAGCGTATAGTAAATATAATGGAGAGTGACGGGAAACAGCTGTCAAAGCTTACATTTATGTGTTGTAAAAGTAAACTAAAGTTTAAAAGCTGAATTCTGGTGACTATGATAACGGCCAGGTGGTGGCGCTACTAGCGATGCTTCTTTAGCCTATTGCCAAATGGTTTAACAAAAGAATCTGGAGAAGTATTTTTAATTCATTAATCTCTTGTGTGGTATTTGGTGGATTATTTTTTGATTAAACAACAATGCTTCATTGCAATAGGTGCGTTCTTTTCGCCTGAGATCTGTTAATCTCAGCTCACATCGATAAAATTTGCAAATGTGCGCGTTCTTTTTGCTTCACTTACCATAAAGTGAGCTGAGATTTTTCCTCCCCTCTCACCGATACAGCACATGCGGGGGAATCAGTTTGAATTAAGTCGGAAATAAAGTGGAGGGGATAAAGAAATTATTGATTTGTTAAGTTTTTAAATAACAACCTAATCTTATTTAGGTGATTTTATGCAATAAAACTTAAATTTCCATGAAAATAATTAAATTTTGTAAATTAGCTATAAACTTGATATAATAAATAGAATTCGAATAAAATTGCTTTTCAGAACAAGAAAAACACTTTTTACAATATAATTGAACAAAGAAAGTAAAAGTGAAGATTTTTTTAATTCTTATTTTATGTCGTAAAATTATTATTTTTTACAAAAAAATTATTTTTTGCAATAAAAGTTAAATTTCCATAATAATAATTAAATTTTGTAAATTGACTATACAGCCATTCCGGGAATTTTTGTAGCGTCCGTTACAATAAAAAATTGTGAGTAAAACTACCGTAATTATGATGCTTATAAGCTTAAGCCTAATTATTACAAGTAAAATAAACATGTTTGCAATAGTAACTATTGTAATAGTATTTATAAATTTTTGATTGTAATGGACGCAACAAAAATTCCCGAGTAACGTGGGCTGAATTTTGCTATGAAAATCGGTATACGAGGTTAGAATAATATTCTGAACAACTTTTTCTAATAATTTTTTTCGATATTTCTAACGCGAAGCAAAATATCGACAACTGGCCCCGTTTGTGAATTCGTAGTAGGCCAAGTTTCAGATTTCAGATATCTTAAAAAATGTGACCCACCAACATGTATGAATGTGAAAAAATTCAAATCTCTATTCCTTGAAATAGCGAAAATATGGGGGTGTCTTCATCTTAAATGCGACACACTGTATATATATATATATATATATATCTTGCTTACGAAAAGAAGTAAGTATTATAAAGCCTGATTTATAGATTGCATTCCTTCCTTCCTCCCGTAGAAGATGAACAATACACTTCGGTACGGAAATCTATAAACGCACTACGATTTTCATATTGTTCATTTTTTACGGGAGGAAGGAAGGAAGGAAGGCAATCTAAAAATCAGGCTTAATTCAGGTTATTTTAATAACCGGGTGATAGGTTATTTTTCACCCGAGTGATCCCAACACTACTACCATAGATAATAAATCATATAGATACGCCACTGTCACAAATTTGACGTTCCTTGCTACGCACACTCCTACCGCTATGTCGCTAGTTGTACCCGCCTGACATTTATAGGTTTTAGGTTATGATTTTAATTTAGGTTTTCCTGTCAAATTTTGACAGTCAAAATAGTAAAAAATAAAAGGCCTAATAGTTTATTTAAATTGTTTATTTGAAAAACAAAATTAAATATATTATATTTTAAAATATGGTTTTTAATAAATTAAACCATAATATTCAAGTGAATTTTAGCTTATTAAAGAAAACAAATAAGTATAAATTTACTTTTTATTACTTAAGTAATAATATTATGTACTACATTGGTGTATTATTGTTTTAATAAAATAGTAATAATTGAATAATACAATACAACCTCGTCATCATTGTGAGCGTTAATTACTGGGATTTGCCAGGAATAAAGCTCCTTGCTAGTAATATTGCCAGGAGATTTCAAATGCCAGGAATTGCCTATGTAAGTTAAAATACAATAATTATGTATCGTTTATAATCCGTGAAAGTGCCCAGATAGGTCATCTAAGATGGCCGGGCCATCATGTCCCATGATGCAAGGAATGAATTTCTTAAATCATGATCGTGGCCCAGAAACCTAAAAATTGTAAAAATTAAAAATTCTTGGAATCAATCATAAGCATTCACGTTGCCAGGAATTGCCTGTAATGATATAGTAAATTTAAAAGTAAACTACGTACACGTCATCAATCAGCTGATCGGGCACGGTTGTCAATGTGATGCTAAAATCCTTGCATCAAGGGAAAGTGGTAGTGCAACTACAGGGCGATAGATGGCGTTTACATGAATAATACCAAAATGTCAAAAGTCTGAGTTTTTATAACCTATATGATGCACCGCCAAAAGTATGTTTTTAGCCATTTTTAAAGACATTTTCTGATATAAAACCCAAAAATTTTGCCATCTAAAGTCAGTCTCTGGTATATATATTATTATTTCATGTATCCAACATATATTTTGTTAAATATTCTAATATATAATTAATAATAATCCTATTTACCTCTCTAACAGCTGTTAAAGGTAACAAAGGTCCATTATTATCCCGTTCTGCCTCAAAATAGCGTATTAAGGATGACACCAACTCTTGACTCCGACTATTTAAATGCTTCGGCATTTTAAATATAGGAAACACAAAAAAACGATATATAACAAACACAAAAACGGCAATGAAAACTTAAACGATATAAAATAACACAAATAACAAACAAAATAAACGAAATAATACACGAATTAAACGAAATATTCAAAAACACAACTGACAGCTTCAAAATTCTAAAACGTCAGATATAAAATAACACAAATAACAAACAAAATAAACGAAATAATACACGAATTAAACGAAATATTCAAAAACACAACTGACAGCTTCAAAATTCTAAAACGTCAAATTCTTTTTTATATGTCATTTAAATATGAAAAATTTGAATGTAAACATGACAACATCACAATTGTTGCCAACTTAATTTGGTTAAAATGCATTCAAATATTCAATTGACCATATGCAAGGAATGCGGTCGATGTTGCCAATGGTAAAAAAATAAAATTCTCAATTGGGAACCTTCAATTATATTACGTTGGCTACACTGAAATTTTGAATTTCCCGCACGAACTAAATTAATTTCCATCTTTTTTTTTAATAATAATAAATAATAATAAATCCCACATTTGAAATTCGCACCTTAATTTATTATACAACATTGGAACTACCTTCTTTATCTCTGGGAACTCCTAGAATGTATGTCAGTTTGTGCGGGAAATTCAAAATTTCAGTGTAGCCAACGTAATTTAATTGAATGTTCCCAATACGGAATTTTATTTTTTTACCATTGGCAACATCGACCGCATTCCTTGCATATGGTCAATTACAGACTTCGATTTAGTCATTTAGTGTTGGTACCAATGCGTAAAATTTTTGTTTTATTGATGACGTGTACGTAGTTTACTTTTAAATTTTTAATAAAATTCCTGGCAATACATATGTATGTATTGCCAGGAATTTTATTAAAAACTATTGGCAACACTGCTACTACCCATCTCTAGCTGTCACAATCATAATAATAATAATAACGTAAACAAATAAGTTAATTATTTATTAATCTAATCGTAATGGCATCGGCAAGTAGTACAAGTGCAAGATCATTGTTTGCTGATTCGAAAATGAGGCTAGCGGACAGAGTTCAAGTAAATGTGAATAATATTTCCTCGTTGGCAAGACAAATTACACGGGGATCTAAATCTAGTGAAGTGGGTCAATGATTGCTGTTTTATAGGATAGGTACTAATAAATGTTTGTTGTAGATTTTAATGCATTCAGCTAGGAATTTCGCCGCGTTGGAACAATCGATGGAAAACACGGAAAATAACCTTAAAAAAATGCAGCTTTTGTGTGTACATTTGGGTTATCAGCAAGATTCAATGATTAAATCTGCGACACAATTGGAAGAAGTTAAAGAGCAAGTCTGTGCAATGCAGCGATAATTTTATCAACTGTGCTTTGCTGTCATTTGATCAAATTTGTTTTACACAGTCCCAACCACAGAACATAACTGCCAGGCCTATGTTCTGTGTGCCAGGCAGCACTCAGCAATGCACTTGCGATTTTTTTACATATTAAGCCGTCTACACACTATTTGGTAAAGTGGACATACACACCTATGAGATAAATCTTCTTACAATTTCTGTGTGAGATTTGTTGCAGGAATTACTCAAACGTTGGAAACATTTAATGATATTAGTGTTGCAAGTGCTTTAATACTAATAATGTTTAGTTATTTACATTTAAAGAAAAAATATCAAAACAACTAAAGCTTTTCTTAGAACAGTTTTTCTCAACTTTTCACTTCTTATGTATTTTAACCTCACTCAATTGAGTGAGGTTTGATCCCCCAGAACCTATGGTTTGGGATTGCAGAAAAAAATGCATGTCATAAAAAAGTTATGAAAATGAAGACAAGGACAAACAATTTTGGATTTGAGACGAATTAACGATTTTTGGTGCAATACTATGTATTAAAAAAACCAAATATGTAAGGTCTTAAACATGCAAAAAACGTATTGCTAGCCCCTGAATATCAGTAGGGATATGGTCATTTAACAATAGGATATGATATGTTTTATGGTTACCTTTATTTGTTTTACGAACAATATATTGTGTGCTAATTATAGATTCCCATAAGGATGAAAGCCCAGAATGTGTAGATGCAAGCAAAGAACACAACCATAGATTGAAAAGGTAGAAACCAAACTTTAGTGGCAGCATACAAAACCTCAGATAAAAACCCAACAAACACTTGAGACACTTAAACCCAAGTAGATTTGTATATGTGCAGGAAAAAATAGAACATGTTTAAATAAATTACATACTTTATAACATAAATATAATTATTTATAATGTAGATATGTATAAAAACTAATAAAAAAAAATTTCACTTAAATTTAGAAAAGCTATATATTCCAACTATTGCAACAATTAAAAGATTGACAACAATTTTATTGACCCATATTTGGTTGGTAAAATTAACATACACTAGCAAAGTTAGGAATAAGAATTGAAACCAGCTGAATACTATACACCATAAACGCCAGAAATAACATGAATAAAATATTTTGTTACCCATCAATTTAGTATGATGCCAATCAATAATTTTTTATCCAAAAACATAAAAATATTTAAAAAAGAATAAATGTATATATTTAATATTTAACATATTTATATGAGGCGCCGTTTGTCCGTAAATTATTTTTGCTATATATAAGAATATTTTTTATATATAAATTTTAATTTCCCATATATACAGGGTGTCTCACCAGCGATGGTACATTAGACGTTTACGGAGAACGGCTGAGGATATCAATTTGAAATTTTTATAGCAATTATTGTACAATTTAATCTACCTTTTAAAATTATTTTGAATAAAATTCCTCTTCCGGTTTAACCGGAAGCGACATCAACTTTGTTATTTCCAATGGAACACCCTGTAAATTTTTTTATTTTTAAATTCTTAATGAAATTGCTATACCATTCCCTATACCTAAACTTAATAGTTTTCGAGTTTTTCGTAAAATTTTCCACCTTCATTAAAAATTGCTTATAACTTTTTTGATATTTGGTTTGCTGGTATGCTGTAAGGATTTTTGGAATCTTAAAACATTGTTTTAAATATTCCATTTCTGAAATTTTCATATTTATGATCAAAAACCAGAGAAAAATCCTGGTAAATTTGGTTAACTTCAAACATTAATAACTGGTTATTTTCAATGGAAAGGTATGCATGTTTTTACATAATCAAATAGGAAAATGAATTATATTTTGATTGGTATAACCATTCCCTATACCTAAATAGTAAGGTTTCGGAAATACAAGCAAATTTCTGTAAAAATCCAATATTTTGACATATTTATCTCAGATACCGATGAAATTTCACAACACAGATTATAAAGGTTTCACAACAAATTAGTTATGTCATTGATTCAATCAATTTGATTGACAGTTGATACATTTCTTAACCAAAATTTCGAAAAGCGTTCAAAAATTAAGTAAAATGGATAGAAACAACTATTCCAATGAGGTTTTGATGCAAATATTTATTATTCATGGACAATGTAATCAAATAGTAACAAGAACATGCAGAGTATTCAACGACAGGTTTCCAGATTTACCACCACTGAACAAGAGGAAGTTTAGAAGAATAAAACATAATTGTCTTCATTGCATACCTACAGGCTTGGGTCTTGGTCTATCTGCTCTCAGTCGTGACCCAAAATTAATAAAATTATGTTTTATTCTTCTAAACTTCCTCTTGTTCAGTGGTGGTAAATCTGGGAACCTGTCGTTGAATACTCTGCATGTTCTTGTTACTATTTGATTTCATTGTCCGCGAATAATAAATATTTGCATCAAAACCGCATTGGAATAGTTGTTTCTATCCATTTTACTTAATTTTTGAACGCTTTTGGAAACTTTGAACACCACTTGGTTAACCCTCCGTTACTCGCGCGGCGTCTATCAGACGCCACTGTAACTTTTGAAACGAGATAAATAGGGACTTCCCCGGCCATGTACCTTTCTTAAGTGGATAGTAGAGTAATCTGCGCTCAAAAAAATAACAATAATTTAGTAGGTAGATTTAACATTTTCAAATTGTTTTTTAAACTTTTTTATACATTTTTATTTGCATTTTTAGTAATAAATAAATGTTTGAAACAAATAGTCTTGATGATTTCATTAATATAAAATACAATAACCTTCTAATAATTATTTTATAACGCAAGAGTCTCTCAGACGCCACGCAAGTATCGATGTTACGAAAACTGGCGCGAGTAACGGAGGGTTAAGAAATGTATGTAATCAATGACATAACTAATTTGTTGTGACATTTCATCGGTATCTAAGATATTGGATTTTTACAAAAATTTGCTTGTATTTCCGAAACCTTACTATTTAGGTATAGGGAATGGTTATACCAATCGAAATGTAATTCATTTTCCTATTTGATTATGTAAAAACATGCATACCGTTCCATTGAAAATAAACAAGTTATTAATGTTTGAAGTTAACCAAATTTACCACGATTTTTCTCTGGTTTTGATCATAAATATGAAAATTTCAGACATGGAATTTTTAAAACAATGTTTTAAGATTCCAAAAATCCTTACATGTATGGTATGCTGCAGCATACCAGCAGACCGAATATCAAAAAAGTTATAAGCAATTTTTAATGAAGGTGCAACTGTCAAAATTTTACGAAAACAATTTTTAACTCGAAACTATTAGTTTAGGTATAGGGAATGGTACAGCAATTTCATTAAGAATTTCATGAGAAATTTAAAAATAAAAAAATTTACAGGGTGTTCCATTGGAAATAACAACGTTGATGTCGCTTCAGGTTAAACCGGAAGAGGAATTTTATTCAAAATAATTTCAAAAGGTAGATACAATAATTGCTATAAAAATTTCAAATTGATATCCTCAGCCGTTCTCCGTAAACGTCTAAGGTACCATTGCTGGTGAGACACCCTGTATAGAAACTTTTTAGTTCAGATAATGCCGCTTGAGAATGAGGGCGCTTTGTGGTATTCAACTAAAAAGCACTGTTGCCAGAGTGTGCCAATGCAAAGATTTGGTCAGTGTTTCCAAAATAACGGATCTTCGGCCAGATCTAGCGGAACAAAATGATAGCAAAAAGTATAGGATTTTAGTTTTTTTAAATACTTATAGGTAATATATTGGTCGGTTGGTCTATTTTTACTGAAGAAAACATTTCTCTTCTTTGGCCGTCTCTATTTCTCTAAATAAACACGGCTTCGTTTTTACTAATAGGTATTTAAAAAACTAAAATTTCTTACGTTTTGCTTCTCTTGTCAATTTATAAAAAAAAACAATTTTTTTTAAACTTGGACAAATTAAATTATATAGGCACAAATCTTATGACAAATACCATTCGATATTATGTTCAAGTTTCCGTTAAAAAATCCGTCAGCCGTAAGAGTATCTTTTTGACCTCGACCTTTATTAAAATCTGCCAGATCTGGCGAAACGTTATGTTGGAAACACTGACCAAAACTTTGCATTGGCACACTCTGACAACAGTGCTTTTTAGTTGATTACGACAAAGCGCCCTCATTCTCAAGCGGCATTATCTGAACTAAAAAGTTTCTATTTATAGGAAATTTAAAGTTTATATATAAAAAATATTCTTGTATATAGCAAAAATAATTTACGGACAAACGGCGCCTCATATTTTTAAATTAATCCTAAATAAACTGATCGAAAAAAGTTAAGCATATTTTTGAACAAAGTTGAAATCAAACTGGATACCGACTGATAACTAAAATGCGTTTTTTCGACATCGTTCTTTTTTGTCTAAGATTCTTTCATTTTTACGTTTTTATTACCAAATATTAAAATAAAGTATACAGGGCGTATAAAATTGTATCGTTAAATTTATGTTTTGGTCAAAATATCTTAATATGCTTAACTTTATTCGATTAGTTTACACCAAATGTTATACAAATGTGTTAATTCTTCCCACTCGTTAATTATGTTTGTGGTAAATTTACTGGATGGAGCGAAATAGTTGCAAAACATTAAACTGGTTTCAAGCAATTGTTTACTTGTCGCAGATAATAAATAAAATATCAAGTTAATATGAATTACGCGATAATGTCCTAATATCCGTAGATTGTCAGACAAAATCGGGATATCCGTTAATGACCCTTAAGCAAGATTTATAGATTTCCTTCCTTTCTCTCGTAAAAGATAAACAATACAAAAACCGTTGTGCTGTTTATAGATTCCCGTACGGGAATATATAAATGGCACTACGATTTTTGTATTATTCATATTTTACGAGAGGAAGGAAGGCAATCTATAAATCAGGCTTTAAAATCCTTAGATCTACGGGAAAATCCGTAGGGTTGGCAACGCTGGCTTAGTTAGTCCATTGTTGGCAACGTTATAAATGCCGATGTAGCAATAAAGCCTGATTTATAGATTGCCTTCCTTCCTTCCTCCCGTAGACTATAAACAATACAATCCCGTAGGGGAGGAAGACAATCTATAATTCAGGCTTAGGACTAAAGAGATGACCTTGAAAATGAAAATTGTACCAAAATTGGCATTGTGAAACCAAAAATAATTTTCGAATGTACCGAATTTGGTACAACTGTACCAATTACCTATAACAACACTGATTTCTACGGATGAAAAGGTTGGCAACGCTGAATTTACCTTGGTTTCACATGGTTTCTTTATTTCATGAATTTCGGGTGTTTGTGTTTTGATTCACAATTTGTAATAATTTTGAACTATTTTTTAAAAAAATGGATGATTCTGGTGGGTATTAATAATAAAACTTCTTTGTATTATGTTTCCTATATCATGTTTTACCTGTTACTTAATAATTGTTTTTTTTGTTTTAGTGCCTAAAAAAACATTTAAATTAATACGAAGGAAGCCTGTTATAAAATCTGAGCCAGAACCTGGTATGTCCTTATATACAATTTAAGTGTAAACACTAAATCTTAATTTTTTAGATGTTATTCAAAAAAATTTGGAACCACTTTTTCATAACATCAAAAAGAAAAGGCTGGCCCAAGACATTTATTATCAAAATCATAGTTTTGGTGTAACTTCCCTGAAGAAGGATGTGCATCAAAGATTGGGACAAACTTCAAAGTCACAAAAGTTTTTCCATATGCCCTATGGAACAAACACATCCAGTATTGGCCCTAAGCCCAAAAAACTATTTCGAAGAAATCACCAAAATAACCAATTACAAAGGCATTTCTCTGTACAGGACAGGCTTAACAAAATCAGGCTACATCAATCGCTAATTGGTAAAAACAAAGTACTAAAACTTGGAAGAAACATTCCATATAACTTGAGGGTGCAAGTATCCAACTTGGATTTTAAAAAACAACCAAATTTTCATAGAAAGTTTAAACTTATACTTAATCCACAACTACAAGAAGACATTCAGGCAATACAGTTAAAGTTTCTATCCATGCCTTTACATTTGGAGGACTGGAGAACCCAACCTGAAAGTACAGGTGTAAGGATGAATGATCGCTTTACCTTGTACTAGTGTTAATTATGTTACAAAATGCTACCAAAATTGATGGAATCAGTGAAAACAAGGTCATTTTTATATTTAGAAATTCAGTATCAAACATTAGGGGGGTTTGTTGTGAAACATTGTTTGGAACTTTGGAACTTCCCAGGTAACAATTGTGTAATGCATGATGAACTTATTACATAATTTTCTTAGCTGCCTTTTATCACATAAGTGCCCTATCATATTTAACAATTTTACAGAGCATCTTAAGATTTTTGAGCTAATTTAAATTATTTTTTAAGAGGTTGTTTAATTGGCTTCTAGGGCTTCTTATTAGGAAGTAAGGGTGGAACTAAAAAAACATTTTTGTATATAACTTTTGTACCACATTTTTTTTCAAAATTTAGCTAAAAACTTTTAATCTTTGGAATAATAATAATAATAATAATAATAATAATTTTATTTCTTATAGGTAAATATACACATAAGAATATACACATATTTACAGAAATATAGTCAGAATGTACAGATTAACAAATTGGTAGAAATAAATATTAAGGCACATAATTAAAATATTCCACCAGAGTATAGGGTTCTATTTCAATTAAGTATTCCAATATATATTTTTTATACTCTTTAAAACATCTACAATTTTTAATATGTAAAGGTAACTTATATGCTTTAATACCAGTATAAAAACATCCTTTTTTAAATATTGCCAATCTATGAGGTGGTATATTCATAAAATTGTGTCTGTAAAATTGTAAAATATGAGATACAGCCTTATGTGATAATTGGGGCAATATGTCATACAGATTTTAGTGACGTGCATAAGTGTGACACATGATATACATGTCATAAAAAAAAAAATCAAGTGATGAGTTCAACATGAATTACTTATGATGTGAACTCAAAAATTTTTCCAATGATAATGGATTCATCATAGGTGAAGTCCTGAAAAATCACAATATCATAGAATGAATTCATATTGCATATGTTATGACAATTGTTACCTGAATGATTCTAGAAAATTGAGAATTGTTATTATAATACATTTTGATATCGTTTTTAACGACTGCATCTGGGGGTGGGTTTTGGGGGTTAAACCCCCCAGAAATACTTTTACCTAAAACCATTTCAAAGTAATGTTTTGTCTAACCCTCCCCCTCCACAAATTACTTACAGCCCTTTTCAATATTATTTGTTAAATAACTTGTACTATTAAATTACCATTAATAACCAATATAATTTCTTATTAAAAAATGTATTTAATTTCCTACTGGTCATACTGATGCCACTAGAACTCCATGCTTGTAATACACATAGGGTTAATTAATTAATTAATTTTTTTATATATAATCATATATAATATAATGTATGGAAATACATGATTATTCATTTACGTTGTTTTTTCTAGAATTTTTCCTAAATCGCCATATGTATAAAACATGTTTAGAATATCTTGATTAGTGTAATTATTATTGCACATTGTAACACAATTGTCAGAGACATTGACATTACTGTATAAATACGAAATAAAAGACAATCCAACGCACACTTATATTACATATAAAAAAATAAGCGGTTTTTTCACATTTTTTGTAATATCTCTGTAAATATTCATATTAGTATTATAATAGGGAATGCTTCTGATAAAATAAAACGCAACAGGTTCGTTTGATCGTCAATAAAAGACTGATTTATTGAATAATAAAAATAAATTTTATTCTACAAAAGCGAGGGAACATTAGCTTCTACTTAACATACTGTAGAGGGCGTTCTAGTACTAACATGTTACCATAGATGGCAGCGCATACATTAAATTATAATTTTTGATACATTTCAATAAAAAGCATTATTTTGCGTCGAATGATCTGAAAATTGTATGGTAGTTTTGTTTGAAATAAGAAAGTTATTGGCAAAAAAGTCAAAGTAAATACCAGAGACAATGTATAAAATTTTCAAATACTATTAATGGCCTTTGGGTTTTTGATAACATTACAATTAAGGGTAATGAGTCATTTTCAAGAAACACCCGCTTTCAGGAAAATGAAGATCAAATTTTTTTTTGCTTAAATTGACTTTTGGTTGGATTTTTATAAATGTGCTTAGCTAGCTTAATATATCTCCAGTGGGTTACCAATTTGAAATCCAAAATTTAATTCAATAAAAAAAGTTGTTATAAAAATAATTTGAAATAAAATGTACCTACTTAGTTCACAAACTTTTGACTCCAATTTTTTATTTTATTTTTTATTAAAAATTGTATGCTTTTTTTAAATATGTATGTTAAGTTACTTTTTAAAAGAAACCATTCCGATTATTTGTTAAAAAAACAATACCATTAATATTTTCTTTTAGTCACTGTATTAGTGAGTTAAACTCTAATTTATAAACACCTATTACCAAGTGATAGTGTATAAAAATCATTTAAAGTATTTTTTTTTACAAAAAAAAGTAACGAAATAGACATTGGTATCACAACGGACTGGGGTACACAAAGCACAATCAGATAACGTAAAAAAGAAACTATAAAGGGTGGTACGAATTTAGGGTAATGCATAAACAAAATCCCTTGTAGTGGTGCTCACTTGCAGAATAACAACTTAGATTTCTAAATTGTAGACACTATAACTATACTATAAGCTGGTGAAGGTCCCTTTTAGTACTTGTATATTGCGTGGAATTTTCCCTTGGATGTAATCTATATCACAAATAATTTTAAATTGGTTTATCATAAACTACTTTTAATAAAAGCGACGGTAAATATACACTTTGTTGTCGAAAAATTCTATTGCGTTACCATAAATTCCATTGCGTTACCATAAGGTAACAAAGTTTTGTGAAACAATATTTAAAAAATAATAATAAGACATTACAGTCATTAATTACTCTCAATGAGCTTTGGTGCCCTAAAATAAACATAAACATGAAAAATAGTATTGTTTCTTACCGTATTTTTATTATTTTAGCTGCAGAATAACAACTTAGATTTCTAAATTGTAGACACCCTTTTTCTTTGACTATAAGCTGGAGAAGGTCCCTTTTAGTACTTGTATATTGCGTGGATTTTTCCCTTGGATGTAATCTATATCATGAGTTGTAATCACAAATAATTTTAAATTGGTTTATCATAAACTACTTTTAATAAAAGCGACGGTAAATATCCACTTTGTTGTCGAAAAATTCTATTGCGTTACCCTAAATTCCATTGCGTTACCATAACCCTTGCGGCCTTGAGTTCACGGTTTATTCACCGTGAATTCACTGTGAATTCACCCTGAATAAACCGTCTGTTTGTGACATTTGTAAACGGTAGTTAGACGGTGAATTCACGCACTTTTCACAGTATTTTAATTGTGAACCCACCATATTTTGGCGGTATATTCACGGTGAATTCACAGTGAATAAACCGTGAACTTAAGGCCGCAAGGGTAGGTATATCCTATAGGTTTAACACAATCGACTATAGCTAGCCATTATTCGTTACTGAGCAGATGAGGATGGAGATAGGGACTTCAAACAATTAATGTTCAGCTATGCCATTACAGGCGCACACTTCCAACTAAATATTGCAACCCAACGCTATTTATAGTTAGCTCGCTTGCGTAAGCAGCCGTGAGATGTATTGCTTAAACCGCTTAACACAGAAATAGACTAATAAAAAAACCGCTAATAAATGGCGTCCAACTTGTTGTTTTTTCTTTATGATGGCGTCTCAACCTCGTTGATTTTGCGCAGCTACACGTAGGGCTGTCAGAAATAAAATTATGAGGCGGTTAACCGGTCATAGGATTTTTAACCGGTTTTTAAAAAAAACCGGTTTTGAAAACCGTACATAAACGGTTTTTAACCGGTCAAAAAAACCGGTTTATTCGACCGGTTGAAAACCGGTTTATTCGACCGGTTGAAAATCGGTTTTTTCGGTTAAAAAACCGATTTTTGACCGGTTAAAAAACCGATTTTTTGGACCGGGGGCCATTCCAAGCCCATGGACAGGACACATCAGAAACATGTCTAAATATATTCTTGTTACTTCCTTAAGTTTACTTATTTTTTCTACGAGTATTTATGAGAAGTATTAGCCAAATTTGGCTAATACTTCTCATAAATACTCGTAGAAAAAATAAGTAAACTTAAGGAAGTAACAAGAATATATTTAGACATGTTTCTGATGTGTCCTGTCCATGGGCTTGGAATGGTCGCCGGTTAAGAAAACCGATTTTTTTGACCGGTTAAAAACCGATTTATTTGACCGGTTAAATTCGGTTTTTAAAACTGGTTAGAAATTGATCCAAAACCGGTTATGATTATTCAGAAAAATCGATTTTTAACTGGTTTTTATGAACGAGTTTTTAACCAAGTTATGATTCTTTTAAAATTAACCGCAAATTGCACGGTAAATAAAAACCAACAAATCAAATTCTTTTGGTAGCATATAAAGACCACTATGAAAAAGAATTTCTTCCGAAGAAAGATATATCAAATGCTATAAGATATTACTTCATGTTTCATGATGGTTCATAGGTACTTCTTAAAGAAAGTTTTAATGTAAAGGCAAATGTTTTTAAACAAAATATTACTCTCTAAACATCAAAATTAGTCAAATATCCATAAACACTAGTTAAACCATTTTATTCAACAATCTAGCTTTATTCACAACTGTCATTCATAATATTATTAACAGATGGCGGCAAAACCACGTTTTAGAAAAGAAAAAGTTGTTTATTTTATAATTTTTTATTTTAATTACCTATCTAAATGTATCTAAATGGTATTTAATAAATAGTATTTATGCGTATTTTATGTGTATTTAGTAAATACACATTTGGACCAGTCACAGAAAAGTCAATATTTTATTTTTACTTAATTTTAGACAACAAAAACAAAAGAAAAATCTATTGATTCCAACTATTACAATAATAATAGTTGAATTCAATAGATTTTTCTTTTGTGTTTACCAAAATTAAGTAAAAAATAAAATATTGATTTTTCTGTGACTGGGCCAAATGATATGATTCTGGGCTCGTATATTATATAAGCAACCGCCCCTCACGAACGGCGTGTGCTGCGGTGCTTACCATCAAAGGCCGCATCACACAGTCCGACTTTTAAAAATTATAGACTATGGCCGGTCAAGAAAACTGATTTTCACCAGTCGAAAAGACGGTTTTCAACCGGTCGAAAAAACCGGTTTTCAACCGGTCGAAAAAAAACCGGTTTTCAACCGGTCGAAAAAACCGGTTTTTAACCGGTCAAAAAACGGTTTTTAATCGGTCGAAAAAAACCAGTTTTTAACCGGTCGAAAAAACCGATTTTAAACCGGTCGAAAAAACCGGTTTTTATTAAAAGTATAACCACGGTTTCCACGGAAAATAAAAACCGGTTAACCGAATACTTGTGACAGCCCTAGCTACACGAGAGCCCTCTTGCGATATTTGTATTGTATTGGGAATAACCAATTAGCAGATTGTTCGAATCTTACACTTACAATTTGCGGTGTTTAAAACACCGTGTTTTACAGTCAATTTACGGTGTTTTCACAGTAAACTCACAGCGCTTTTACGGTGAATTCACGGTGATTTCACGATAAATTTACAGTACTTTCACAGTGAATTTGCGGTGATTTTGCAAACTTGAGTTCACCGTGAATTAACCGTGAAATCACCGTGAATTTATCGCAAAAACAGCATGAGTTCACCGTTTAATTACCGTCTACAAAAGTCACAAATGCACGGTATATTCACTGCACATAAACGGTGTATTCACGCAAACGGTGAATTCACCGTAAACTCAAGGCCGCAAGGGATATATATACAGGGTGTTTCAATAAAAACTCCCAGCCCAATTATTTCGAAAACTAAAATTTAGTGACATTTAAATTCTGTAAACGCCAGTTTTTAGCCTCTATGATTGGCTTCACAACTTTGTAAAAAATGTGTTTGAATAATTCAAGGTGGCGCCACGGTGCAAATAATTTTTTTGATGACAGGAACTTTTAAATTAATTTTTGATCAAATTATGTCCCATACAATTTTTTGATAAATCCAACATGAACGGAGATATTTGGGGTTAAGTTTTTTTTTAAATAATTTTAACGAGTATTTTAAGTAATTATAAATATTTTTATCTACTCCTACATTGACGAGCTGTAACCACAAAACTAGTTTTGTGGCTGTAACTAAGTTACAGTAACTTTATGGCGTTTTATTGACGGGCTGAATTCAGGTATGTATACATACCTTAAATTAATGGAATTTTCTTTAAAAAACTATTTATAAATTTTGACACATACGTCAGATTTTATGAATTGTCAAATAGTTTCCTTTAATTCGAGAAATAATCTAGACGTAGGTATATGGGGCAAAATTTGCCAAGTGTACCAGGTGAAAAAAATTTTGTCACCGATTTTGTTTAAACTTTACTTATTTGTTGTTCTTATAACGAAGAATCATAACATATTTTTTTGCCCTAGGATTGTTCATTCAAGAGTTATGGATTATTGAAATTTACCGATTTATTACTTTTTGGTGAAATCGCTTTTTATTTAAAAATTCATAACTTCTGTTCATCTCTTTATTAAATATTTTAATTTAACCACCTTAAATGATTTTTTCCGTACTTTTCAATAGGCTATACCTACCGTTTTTGCAAAAAAAAATGCTTTTTTTTTTGAAATTTTGCAATATTTTGTATTTTTTTAAACAATGTGTATTTTTTTTAAATAGCATAAAATCGAACTTTCTTTAAATAGAGAAAAATATCTAAAGAAAATGATGAACAAATCCTTTTTACAATTTTTTTATTATTTAAACGAATTTCTGGTAATTATTATTGTTCATTATGTTATGATGAACGTCCAAAAAGTGTAATCTATACTTCTGACAACGTTGGAAGCCGTGTTTCTTTCGACGGTGTTTAGAATGTGAAACTATGCTTTACTCGCTTTTTAAACGTAAACAAATCCGTCCATTTGTTTTGGTGGTCTGTGGTCCCATGGACATCCGTTTAGAGTCCAGATGTCACAACTTTGGACATCCATAAGTCGTCCACCGATGGACGTCTATAAGGTGTTTGAACCATTCCTCCAGCATCCAGGACCTGCTTTTTTGCTTACTTTAACTGTTTTTTGCGACTGTATTTTCATTGCGATGTTGCAGAAAATTTTCTACAACATGACTGAAATGCCTTTTGTCTGGCTCAGTAACAATCCCACTAGGAATATAAATATTCTAAAAGTTGTTAAAAGTTACAACATTCAATGTTGAACATTGCAGGAAATCCTTGTATTCGACTCAGGAACATTACATTTGCAATACTACAAGTGTTTAACATTTCATTGATAGCTTAAGTCCTTTATAGCACGCGCTTGCTTGAATGTCAGTGAGATTGATCATAACTGTTGTTATGCAGCCAACAATACGTTTTAACTTGCATTTCTGTAATAATAAATATGGACGTAAAATGGACACTATATGGACGTCCATTAAAATCGTACAAAGGATGTAAATATATGGACGTACATAGTACGTCCATTTTTAGTCCGAAGACCAATGTACTTAAAATGGATCTTAAACGGACGTCCATTGGACGAATGGTGCTATCTGGGTAGCCAACCCACATAGTACAATATGTCCAAAGGACGTCCAATGGACCCGAGAATAACCTAAATAGGATGTCCGTGGGCTATCTTGTGCTATCTGGGTAATAAGTAATAATTGATATTTCGTAAACTAGATAACTTATTGTTTTTTAAAAAATGTTTGTTAAAACTTGTAAATAACACCATAAAATCGTAAACAAAGCTTTTGATTGGTTTATATTATAATGAGGGAAATAATCAATAATAAATATTATTGTCAATTTGACAGTGTCAAAGCATAGAAAAAGTATTTAATTAAATTCTTTAGTAGAAGTACCATTTTTAAATACTAAAAATACTGACACAAGCCACCAACATAACAAAAACACTAGTCCAGATAAAAAAACGAACTTTACTGTATAAAGGATCCTGTACGGGAATCTATAAATGGCACTACGATTTTCGTATTGTTCATCTTCTACGGAACGAAGGAAGAAAATCTATAAATCAGGCTTTATTTGTTATTTTGGTGTTGGCAACACTGCCATAGACACTTCCATTTAAAATTTTTTTATTTGTGGATTGGTACAATTTGTGTTTGACGTTTTTTTTTAAACTCGAAGCTTGTTTCTTGTTTTTCACGTTAACAAGTTGTTTACGTTTTGAAATTTATAAAATTATAAGAAACAAACATGGATAACGGTAAGGAAAATACATTTACCACGGTTTTTAATACCTCTACAGTCTAAATTTTCAATAATAACAAATACATATCGATGACTTTCTGCCAAAGTATCGCAAGCAACATAACTCAAATTTCGGGAATTGAAAACATTATTGTCTTAAAGTCTGTTTTAAATTAAATATAGCCTAAAGGATTTATAACAAGTAAATAGCTTATAATTATAGCTATTTACTTGTTATAAATCCTTTAGGCTATATTTAATTTAAAACAAACTTTAAGGCAATAAAGTTTTCAATTCCCGAAATTTGAGTTATGTTACTTGCGATACTTTGGCAGAAAGTCATCGATATTTTTATACCATTAGGTCCTAAAAAGTTCTTTAAATTAATAAGGAGGAATGGTTTACCTCCAGCACAGCCAAAAGGTAATATTTTTACTGTAAATTTACAAAAACATCATTTGTAAACTGTTACATTTTAGAAGTTATAAAAAAAAACTTGGAACCTTTATTACAAAACATTGAGAAGAAAAAGTATGCACAGGAAGTGTATTATAAAGAAAATCCTAAAGGTGTGAGCCCATTGATAAGGAAAGAGAAAGGATCAGTTCGTCAAAGGTTAGGACAAACTCTAAAGTATAAAAGATTAACTAACACTGCAAATATAAGTCCAAAATCATTGTATAAAATCCAAAGATGTGAAAACTACCCAATGAACAAAAAAAGATTTTCGGCACAGGATCGACTCAACCGAATTAGGCAAAGTCAGTTATACTTTTTGAATAACAACAATGAAAAAAAAACTAATACTATAACATTAAGGAGAACCAATCAGTTCAAAAATACACCCAGGAATGTTCTTCAAAGGGGAGTACCATATCAACGTAAATTTAAATTGCGCTTAAATCAGCAATTAATGACTGCAATTCTTAACATTCAGTCACAGTATCATTCAATGCCATTGTATATGGAAGATTATATTTGTAGTGCAGAGGCTACTGATTTAAAATTAAATAATCGGTTTTCTTCTTATTAAATCTTAAAATAGTAATATTACCTAGATAGATTACTTATATCTAATATTGCACTGCCAGTAAAATATTGGTGTAGGTAATTCATAATTGGTAGTAATTAAATTGTAATAATTCAAATCAGTTTATTTAATCACCAAAAATGTATGTGAGCAACTAATAACTATTCAAATCTGTACAATTTTATTATTAATTATTACACCAATTATTTTTTACTGGGAGTGCAATATATTGTTATGTTCGTAATACCTACTAGATACTTGTTATGTTTTGTTTAAGTTTTTTTATTTTGTGTTTTTGCAACATTTTAAAAATACTTCAGTTCTAAAGGTTTGTGTAATTTTTTTAATTTATAATTTTGAGAATATTGCATCTAAAAATTCATTTAAAACTTTTTTAAATGCACAGCCTTTATAGCATAGGTAAACACTACTTTTATGCTTTTCTTACTCTTAATAATATATTATAGTTTTGTACTTTTGAAACTTGTTTAATTTTGTTTGCCTGCATACAAAATCTTTTAATGATTCCTTAATATTTAAGATATTCATAATTTCTATGACTTCTATAATAAAAATAGGTCTGCCAAGCAGTTTTGCAAAATAAAAAATCTCACATTTAAAACTATTAAATTTTGTGGTCAATTTTTTAAAATTTTGACCTAACCAGTCTAAAATATAATCAATTAGTGTTTTAAATTACTAAATAAATTTTTTTAATTTTTTTAAAACTAATTTAAGTATTAAAAATCAACTTTTAACAATTCGCTGCCATCTACCGTAATTGGCTTGTACTTACGACCTTTCACCTGAAAAAACCAGGGTTGAAACTTTTTATTGGCGTCACCCCCTAGGGTAATTTATAAAAATCGAATATTATTTTTTTACTTTCGACAATGAAAAATTGGTTTTTAGGCACCTCTAGAAAGTGCTCACCAAATTTGAGCTCTTAATATTAATAGGAAGATCCTCCCTATCACAGTTTCCCATTTTTTATTTAGTCCCTTTATTTATTATAGAAGTCATAGAAATTATAAATGTATTTCATTATTAATCAATCCTTTAATGAAATCTTTATAAGTAAATATTTTTGTACAAAATTGAATGCTCTACAAGAAAGGACTGTTGTGTTTAAGCGATCACTCTAACCATTTAAAAGATATTCAAGATCAAAGTTTGAAGAATTTATAAATTTTTTTTAAATAATTTTGTAACTCATTGAAAAATAATTATTGTCAAATGAGTATGACATATTTTTGTAGGAAATTTAACGCTCTGTATTTAATTGTTTACTCTAACCATTGAGAAGATATTCGTATCCGAATCCCAATGCTACTGATACGAATATCGTCTCAACGGTTAGAGTAATCAATTAAACACATCAAACCTTTTTTGTAGAGCCAGTGTCTCTGGTAGAGCATTAAATATCCTACAAAAATATGTATAAAGATTTCATTAAAGGATTGAAAAATAATAATTATTGAAATATGGTCTTTTTTATATAAGAACCAATTTTTCAGTGACAAAAGTAAAAAAAAAACTTTTAAATCACCCTAATATACAGGGTGTCGCAGAACTCGCGCCACAGAAAATGGGAACGTGCCGAAAGTTATGCGAAAAACATACTTGAAATTTAAAATTATCCAACAGAAAGAATTAGCGAGATAAGAATAAAAAACGATAGCCAATCCCAAAACATGGACATAGGGAATTCTTTAAATGGCTAGGATACTTAGGATTCATTGTTGATATTATAATATGTAAAACATTTCGTCAACTTCATTGTGAGTCACAATTTGTGACAGTGGTGTCAATTTTTGTTCTGGTCATTATTTATCATTTTAAGTTAGGTTTCCTCCTCTGATTATGCCGAAATAATGATTATTTATGGGGAGTAATATAATATATGAAATATATATAAAATATTAAATGAATATTTTTGCTAAATGAACTAAATAAGTTAGAAATATTAGTCATTATCATTTAGATGTCCCACTTTTTATATTTATACAATATTTTTCCACAACATTTTTAAAACATTTTTGTAAATGTTTTATATACATTACCTTATATTTTATTAATGTTTTCTCAACATCACAAAAATATCTGAAAATATTTTCGAAATATACCTATACAGTTCATTGCATATTTATTTTAACAATGTTGTTGTAAATGTTGATAAAATGTTTCTTTTATATTTGAGGCATTCCACGTTACTCGGTATTTTTTGTCCCGCCCGTGACATTTAAAAAATGTGAGTAAATACCACCAGTTATTAAATTATTATTTTATAATATTATTTTTGTTGTGCTTACAAGCTTAATAATTATTACAAGCATAATAAACAATATTTAAAATAAATTTAATAACGTGGGGTTTTTACTCACAATTTTCAATTGTGACGGGCGGGACAAAAATTACCGAGTAACGTGGAATGCCCCATTTATAAAAGCCGTGTGACATCCGATACTTTTTGCTATACTGTATTTTCTTTTTTGGAGTGCAAAAAGTAGATGTGGTATGGTATTCTCATAGCATATATAGTAAAACAGTGGAATACCATAGCTGGAGATATATTTTTTGCACGCTAAAAATACAAGAAAATTGAGTACAGTTTTCAATAAAAAATATTTAAATAAAACGTTTATTTTAAAAATAATTTATATAAATAAACAAATTTGTATATATTAATATAATTATTATATTAATATATATATTATATTATTATATATAAATAAACAAATATATTAATATTATAAATAATAAATTAATTAAGTAATATATAAATAAACAAAACAAAACTTCTTTGGAAAAAATCACAAAAATAATTTCTTTCTTCAGTATCGCTTTTTCTTATTTCATTTTTTTCCTAAATTTAGCTTGGGCCAACCATTGTCTCAACTTTAGTAAAATTTCGTTTTCTGTCGCATTATTTGTTTTCGCATTTTTCCGGATGGAGGCTAAAAAGAATTTAATTTATACAATTGTTGATTGGTTTTAAAAATTTTTTAAAATAAGAATTTTACTGGTAAAATAATCGTCTTCAATAGGGTGGCAATAAAATTTTAAGGTAGGTACCGGCGGCATTTTTCCGTTTCCTATAGGGCTAGCGCAACCGAGTGCGCTAATCGTGTAGGATACGGAAGCGAGACCTGCATCTCCGTTCCCTAAGTGGTTAACGCACCGCATACGAATAAGCACTCTGCAATGAGCTTTCTAGATAATCTTTCTTTGTATGTACAATGTACATATAAAATAATAATAATAATAACCAAACAAACAGATTGACGTATGTCTTAAAGGCGCGAATCATTGTATGCACGTTATAGCGCGATAATACACTAGAGGCTAAATGTAGCAAAGTATTCCTCAAGGTTATGACGAATAGCTGTTATCTTGGTTATGCAGGTACACTGCATTGTGCCATACCAAACCAATGTTTTTGTTCTATTGTGTATTAGTCCTTCGGAGGGGACTTTAAGCCCGCGGTCCGTTCCTACCCCTAACCCGCACAAGCCATTCAGTTGGCTTATGGGGCTTGTTAAGAAGTAAGGATGGAACTAAAAGAGCACTTTTGTATAAAATTTTGTATAAACTAAACCAACCCAAACTTAACAACCCAACCCAACCGACCCCGCCCCATTGAGCAATAGAGGTATAATATATCTAAGGGCAGGCTGGATTGTGTCAATGGGGCGGGAGGGGCTCAATGGGGCGGGGTCGGTTGGGTTGGGTTGTTAAGTTTGGGTTAGTTTGGTATGGCACAATGCAGTGTACCTGCATAACCAAAATGACAGCTATTCGTCATAACCTTGAGGAATACTTTGCTACATTTAGCCTCTAGTGATAATACCTAATTACAGGCGGTGCGTTAACCACTTAGGGAACGGAGATACAGGTCTCGCTTCCGTATCCTACACGATTAGCGCACTCGGTTGCGCTAGCCCTATAGGAGACGGAAAAATGCGTACCGGCGCCGCCGATCCGGCGGTACCGTACCGCCGCGATTTAGTACACTACCATTCCCCAGACTGCAATGAAGGTTCGAAAATATTCCAGGAATATTCCCTATCGCCTAGGAATAATCCGCTTCATTCTAGAAATATTCATTGGGAATATTCCTAGAATGATCCTCTAAAACTTCCAAGCATCATCTAAGAATATTCCCAGTGAATATTCATTAGTTTAGTTGCAATACCTCTCACCGTTGCTTACGCACGCTTGATAACTATATATACCGATAGGTTAATAATATCAGTTGGAGATGTGCGTCTGTGATGGCACAGCCAAACAATGATTAGAGTGGGGCTGATCTACTCAGTAACTCAATAATGGCTATACTTAAGTTGGGTTCCTGGGTATAAGAGGCAATAAGGGCTGGGAATAATCCCCAAATTATATCAAGGAATATTCCCCTAACAATCCTTGAGTCTTCTGCAGGCAGATACATGGAATATTCTTTTTATGATGCCTGGATTAACCAAAAAGCGGACATTTGATTATGCCAGGAATATTCCTGGGAATATTCTGGGACGATTGGAATATTCCTGGGAATATTCCTGACATGTGCAGGGAATGTGATTTTGCGGTCTGGGTCATAGATATATAGTTATAACAAAGCCATTCATAGTAGTAATAATAATCTAAACAATAAAAATAAATATAATACATACCTCTATCTGGATAATTTTTTATTAGCGTCGCACACAGGTTTTTTTAGGGCGTCACACTTAAAACACACTCAACAAAGCAAAAATGGCCGAACCATATGAACTATATAGATTATAAAAGCCGACACAGTCACTGGTGACTTTAGCGGCCGAGCCTCAGACAACAGACCTTTTTATCGAGAGGCGCTGACATCACAAAACTTTGAATTAACTTTTCAAAAAGTTTATAAATATTGTTAAATAACTCAACAATATTTAGGATATAATATTTACATAACATTGCGAAATAAATGTTTAAAAATATTTACATCATGTAAATTACATGATATTTATGAATGTTTTAGATATATTTACGCGCAACAGTTATAAGAATATGTTTGTACAACATTTCATTATCCTTATATTTATAAATATTGTTCTCTAAACGGCCTGACAACATTTTTAAAACATATTTTGTTATGTGGGTTCCTTATCATATTGTTCTACATATAAGGTAAAATAAATTTATAAATACAAGAATAAAAGTTTTAAGACTTAATGCTTAGAAAATCAACATATTTTTTGTTATTTGGGCAAAAAGCTGGACATACCTTATCGTATTTTTACACTATCTCTCCTGCTTTTGCACTTTTGTACCCAACAGGAATAAACCATAATAATGAATAAACAATACAAACTTAAAAGGTTTCAAA